AAAAAAAAAAGGCAAAAGCTGCCAATAACTATGACCTTAGCAAAAACAAAAAAAAAAATTAAATAAAAAAAAAATAATAATAAAAAAAAGCATTTTTATATTATAAAAGAAGATATCTATATTGCCTATTTTTAGTAATATGTCTATATTATATTAATCAATTGCCAACTTCTTTAAGTTGATCTATTTTCTTAAACTAAATATTTTTAAAGTTATTAAATACTTTTTTTTATTTTTTTATTTTTTTGCTTACACTAAGGCTGTAGTTATTGTTGGCTATTGCCTTTATTGTATTTTAATTATAATTATATAACTTGTACAAGGTGAGTATATAACTAATCACATGTACAACTTTTGGTTGTCTAATTTAAGTAGTTCGCCTGTACAGCAGATTTTACACTAGCTGTCATACCTGCAATTTATTAGAAGATTATCTATTTTAAACACTCTGATCTCTATACTTATACTGACAAATAGTGCACAAGTTCCTATACACCTAAGTGCTATCTAACCTAACTATGCCCTTTTTGTCTATATATTCATCAAGTTGTTACATATTTCAAAGTACATCACCTGACTTGTAGGGCTCCAGGAGGCCCTCCTACTAACTAACTACTCATATTTAGTATCTTGTTAGCAGAGCTCACCAGTAGTATAATTATAATCTATACAGATTATAATTATACCACTTAATTTGGACTATAATCATCTTCATTGACGATTGGATCACATGTGTGTTATTATTCAAGTAATGATGTGAACACAAATTCATTGTCAAAGATATATTAGTATTTACTCTATTATTTGAGTGATGAATAATTCACACTTGCATCCAGTGTTATAAATTTAAAAAAATTTTATTCACACAAGTGCATATAATAAATAAATAGTATATGTGCAAACTTTAAAATCATATGTGCACTTTTCACCTAAACAAATTTAGAGAATATGTGCAAAAAAAAATTTTATAAGCTGTACATATAAAACTGCTCATTTTTTGTCTCAAATCATCATGAGACCAAGCATGTGACATTGGGTTGGCGATTATATGTAGTTATTTAATATGATTTTACAGTAATGGATTAAAATTGGGTCTTGCTTTTTTAGATGCACAAGTTGCATTTTTTTCTTTTTGTCAATAATGATTTAATGTAAGTTAATTCTTGCACACTATGGCTATAAAGTTATAGAGCCGTTTTGAACATTACTTATAAGAATATATGTTTTTTTACCTATTTTAATCATTTGGTTGGCTGTGTTAACTTTAAAGTAACTGGTAAGGTTTTTTTTTAGAAAAAATATAAAATTCGCTTTATAGTTAAGTTATTTGAAATTTATATTAATCTTCTCAAACTTTTGCCTTAAAATTCTTGATTATTAAACATGGAATCATATAAACACTGATTTCACTTAAAAAATGCATATCTTAAAAAATATAAAAAAAAAAACAAGTAATTTAATGAAACAGCACCTGCACCTATTGAAGAAGCATCTGTCGAATTTAATGAAGAATCTAATGAAGAAATATGCCCAATTATGGACCATAATTTATGATCCTTCATTTGGTCTGATGATCGATTAATTGATCAAACCAGTAATATGAAATAAAGTAATAGGAAAGTCTAAGTAATTAGTTGAGTAAGTATAAAGTAATTAATCTAGTGTATAGATATATTAGTAATTAATAATGTATGCAAAAGAAATAAATTTACTTCTGTAAACCCGATATTCATTCTAGTTACATTAATCTGTTAGAATAATAGCTATACAGGTTAGAGGCTAATAAATTTGGTTTATAGACATAGCTTGTCAAGACAACAGTCATTCATATAGGATTCTATAACCTATCAGGATGATAGTTAAAAAAAAATTAAAAATTTTTTACATAGTACTAGAAAACTGCATAAGTTGCTCAATAAGTGCTCAGATATATTTTCACAAAACAAAAAACAAAATTATAGTATGTATGCAAAAAAAATATATTTATTATAAAAATATTAATTATGAATAAAAATTTATATAGATTATTCTCCAAAAATAAAATTTATAAAAAAAAATAAAATTTTAAGTATCTACAAAATTTCCCATCTGTCTTGCTTTTAAATTGATCCAATGATCATATGCTTTCTCAAAATCAAAATCTTCAATATCAGGACCATTAATTAAAATCATTAAATGCTTATTTAAACTTTCTGTACAAAGCTTATTTCGAAGCTTTGTTTTAATTAAATTTTGGTGTGAAAAAATTCTTTCTACTGTCACATTTGATAGTGGAACAATAAGTGCAATTTCTACTAGTAAAGAAATATTAGGATAGTTATTAATAAAATTATTATCTATATCAAAAATATGTTTTCATATTTCTGTAAAATTATAATCTCTTTCTGAATAAGATTTTAAATAAAATTTTGCTGAGTTCCATTCTTCTAATAATTTTTTTTTGTCAATAATTCCTGTAAAAATATTATAATTAGCTACTCTGCTATCTCTATAATAGTTGCCTAAAAATTCAATTTCTTTTTGTCTGTAAGTTGTTATTTGTTTTTCTGTTTTAGGAAACAATTTAACATCGAATATACTTAAAGCATTATATAAATCAAAATGTGGAAATCGGTCTTGTAATGCTTCAATGATTGCCTTTGCATAATCTTCAATAAAAACAGAAAGTGTTTCTTGATTAATACTGTTACAGTCTATATAATTACATAAAATAATACCATATGTAGGTTGTATATCAGTACTTCCAATAAAACTTTCAGAAATAGAGCTAATTGCTGTTTTTAAATGAGGTTTAAGATGTGAAAGTGCAACATAATCAGACTGAAAAACATTGATTAATCTTTTTAATATTGTTGTCAAATCTGCCAAAAACATAGTAACTATAACAAAATTCTCATCTAATAATAAAATTAAATTTTTAGCTTCCTTTTCTCCTTTTAATGAATCCTTATTTAATGTTGATAAAATTGAATCAATAATTTGATAAAGATTTCCTACAACATTTGATAATAAAAGCCATCTAGTTTTAATATGATTTTGTAATTCTAGATTTGGTTCATCATTTATATCCTATTTAATGATTTTTATTCAAAGTTTAAAGTTTATTACAAATAAAGTTTACTATACATAATATTATTACTGATAAATATATATATAAGATGTAACATTTTTTGCTGTTTATAAGATCAGCTAAAATATGAATAAATTTTGTGTAAAATTTTTTCATACTCTTTAAAATATTCAACTTTTAAGGAAGCATCTTTGCCAGCTAAATATAAATGATGTGCTATACAATGATTTGATAATATAAATGGATTCAAATTTTTTAATTTAGCTGATACTCCACTTTGATGTCCTATAAAATTAATAATAATCGATTAATTAAATTTTAAACTTTAATATTTTTAAAATATATATATAAAATATAGAGATGTCTTTTGCATAACAAAGATAGTAAATATTTTGCAGTATAAAATACATGATAATCTTATACAAAGAAATTATATAATTAATTTGTGCAAGAATAATATGTATCAGAATCTTGCATAAGGCATATCTCTAATAAATTACCTAACATAGTAGATGTGCCATCTGAACCAAAATAAATTAAAGAATTAAAATTTAAATTTTTTGATTCGAAAAATGATTTTAATTGAGTAAAAATATAAAGGGCATTAGTTTCCTCTAAATTAAATATTCCAACATAATGCATATATGGAATATTATTTATTAAATATTTAGCTACAATTGCTAAATGTTTGTCATCTGAAATAGTATTAGATTCATCAATCATCAAACTCTAGTATTTAGAAGTATTTAATTCTTCAAATAAACCTTCTTCAATAATATTACAAATACTATCTAAAAATCTGTTTCCTGAATTGTTATTCATATAACTACCATATGATGCTTTGGCTTTATTTTTTTCATATTGTGGTGTTTTAAGAATATATACTCTATCTGAAGTAATATATTCTTTATGATTATGAATTTGAGTTGTAACTAATTCACATAAATTAGAAAACAAATTGATAGGTTGATGATTTTTAGCACAAAAATAAACATTTCTCATAAGCGATATAATATTTAATTTATCGATACCCAATTGCTTTGCAAAATTAGTAATAATTTTTGTTTGTTGCAGTTTAAAAAGATTTTCGGATTTTTTGTGCTCAGTTGTTTTTATATGATTTTTAATACTTTCTAATCGATATTTTGTTGTACCTACTGCAAATACTGTCTTTTCATTTCTTTCTCTACATATTGTACAAAATAATACAACTTTATTTTCAACTACTTCTTTTTTTAACTATGTATATATCTTAAACCAATTTTGATTTGAGTCTTTACGAATATGAGATCTTTTGGTAGATACTTGTTCTGTATCTGATACTTGTTTTATATCTAATATTTGTTCTGTATTTGATACTTGTTCTGTATCTGATACTTGTTCTGTATTTGAACTAGAAGATAATTCTTCTTGATCTTTACTTTTTTCTTGAGATTTTTTTTTTTTTTATTCATTGATTCAGTAAAAAAAAAAATCGGTTTATGCTTTTTTTGTTTTTTTTAGAACTAAACATTGTTGCTTAAAAGAATGGTCAACAGATCAAAAAAATGGCAAGACAGAAATATACTGTACTAGAAGTGACTCTTCCAGGTTGTGCAAGTCAGGATTCTAGTTGAAACAAGTATTGATAGTTAATTTGATCAAATCGGGCATATGATTAAACAAACACATGTGTTCAAGATAAGTATGATTTAAATAGTTTCCTATTTCAGAACTGATTAGATAATTATAATTAATAGTAATAGGTCAAATATAAGAACAGCTATTACAGCAAATAACATTTTTTTAGACACAAGGAGGAAAATTTGTACCTGAATTTTCCCATCTCTGTTATTTTTGTCAGTGTGGGAAACCACTAGCTAATGCTATACAACACGAATTCAACTAATGACAATGTTATCTGAGCAATTATAGTTGCTATAATGTATGCTACAAATTCTCAATAAAAAATCACAGATGCTTCCAATTAATATATTTGTGTGTACTTTTCAATATATAAATGCAAAATTCACATGGCAGATTTGATTTCTTGATTAAAACATGATTGCAAACCAATTATAAATAAAGCTTTACTTTGAATTATATATTGATATAGTAATTTTATTATATATATTGTTCTGTTATTACAATCTTTAGCTAATATTACTGTATTAAATTAAACAACATCGCTCATATGTATTTGATCTAAATCACATCTATACTAACTTACTTGACAATTTCTATAAGATTAATATAAAAAATAATTAAATTTTGTATTTTTTAGTAATAAAATATTATGCAGTCAAAAAGCAATTTAAAATATTTAAAATAAGTTATCTGGATGGTTAAATCAATTAAACCACAAGTTGTTAATAGAAGTCAAGTCTTTTTTTTAACCTTGTTTTTGGATCATTAAAGACAAAATCTTGTTGGATATAAATATAAAAATTTTATATCACAATACTGAAACTATTCTTAAGATCTTTGCATATTTTTATATGATAGTTCCTTTGGCATCACTAATAAAAGTTTTGGTGCTTGCAGATCTCAAAATCCAAGGTTTTATTGGATATAAATACGAAACTTTAATACTTTAATATTTTTAAGATCTTTACCCTGTTATCACATACTGTTATATTTTTATATGGTGATTCCTTTAGCATTGTCAATCATAATAAAAGCTTTTATGACTGTGGAATCTTTAAAACTAAAAAAAAAAATTGTATTTTATAGAGCACCGATTAGCATTAATTATTGGATGATTATTGATCTGTGATATATAGTCTTGTGCATATAAAGCAAATTTTTATACGTATGAGCAAAATTTGGCAATTTTCGCACATATAGAGCAAAATTTGCATATATGAGGCAAATATTCACACATATAAGACAAATTTTACACTATATACGGTGTATAAAGAGCACCAATTATTTTTAATAATATATACGCAAATTTAAATCTATGTGCGCTGCACCTATTGCACAGATCCAATTTACATTACTGCTTGCATCATCATTTGAGTAATGCTGAATTTGTGTTCATGTTGTCAGAAATATATTAGTATTCACTTCATCATTCAAATAATGAATGATTCACACTTGCATTATCATTTGAGTGACAAATGATTTGCACTTGCATCATCAGAAATATATTAGTATTTGCTCTATCATTCGAGTAATGATTAGTTTATGAATTTATTGTCACATTTGCTTTATCTTTTGAGTGATGAGCATTTTGTATTTATGTTGTCATTTTTGAGTAGATATGTGTCTGATGATGCATTCAGTCACATATTATTATTTGTGGGCTCAATGTAAGGGCTATGCCTGAACTGGATATATAGTGCTCTAGCTTTCTAGTTAATTCCTTAATGAGAGCCAGAGTTAAGTCACATAGTGCAGAATTGTTATCCATTTGGTAGTAGCCAAAAGCATAATTTTTATAATATATATCTTTCTATAATAATTATACCTTTGACTACTATCATGAATACACTATGTTTTGAATCTCTAGAAACCTTTCTTGCATAGTTGATACTTTTGGATACTATTACATTAAAAAAAATATCATGCTTTTGCATACTACTGAATAAATACTTTGGGTTACTACCAAAAAATATCTTGAAAATTTTATTCTTACTTTTGCATACTACTGAAAAATTTCATGCTTTTGCATACTACTGATTTTTATCTTAGTCAAAATCAGGCAACACAAAAATAGTTATCGAATACATATCTTATATATTGGAAGCACTTACTTGAAATTATCTTAATCAAAATCGTACAATACAGAAATCCTCTTTATATAATCTAGATATCAGAGTATTAATTTTTGATTTAAATTTTTCTGTATACTCATTGTAAGAGGTGACAAAAACCTCTTTATCTAAGATGAATAACTAGTTAAACATAGCAATCTCTCTGCTTTACAATTACTACTTAACTAGATTGTATTATTTTAAACAATAGTTACACATATTTAATAAGGGCTAAAGAGCAGGTTTTTAATTCTTTTTTGTATGGAATAGTAGAAATCTTCATTTTAGTCTCAAACTTCTATTTATAATCCAAAAAATCCATCTCACTCATATTCTTATACTCAATTTTTCAATAATTATAGTTATTCTGCATTTCAAAAGCAATCTTGGTTTGCCATTGCTCTAATTTTTCTTTTGACATTTGGAATTTTTGCTATAAAAGAAGGATAAGCATATCTATATCAGATTTATTTTTAATAAGAAATTCTATAGATAGAGAAATTGCCAGAGGCAGGTATATCATGTCTAAGGATTGTTCAGAATTATTTAATTGATTTTGAGTTAATACCAAAGAAGGTGATTGTGACAAATTTATTACAGATTTCTCAACAATACTATTATAAGAACTCTTTTTACAAATCTTATTACTGGATGATTCAGAGCATTAAAGTTTTGCTTCTTCTGAAACAATAATATCAGTGGTAATGGGTATTGAATTAAAAAGTTCTTAAATTTCATTAATTGATTCTAACTTATATAATGGAATAATTGGAGCTATAGAATGATAATTAGGAATATGTAACTTTGTAGCTATTACTTCTTTTTAATTTTTAAAATCAGCTTCACCATATGATCTACAATTAATCCAATAAATGTGTTTCTATACTTGATGTCTCTTGGAACCTACATGAGTTACACTACTCTTAATGATATAACCACACCAATTTCCTATTTTTGTATTAATCAATTTTATTGTAGTCTTGAGATCAGGCAATTCTTTAGCTCTGGTCTTAAAACTGAAAAGTAATAATGCATCTTCTTAAATTTTAACAATTTTTTCCTATGATTGCTTAAAAGTTTTAGCTACATCATTATCAGAAAGAATATTTGTATCATCTATATCATTGAAGCCTATCGATTGGACAAAATTATGTATTGCTTCCCACTGCTTAGCTGAATAAAATTTATGCAAATTAACTAAGAACAGATCTATAGATACATGTGAATCTTTTCATTGCATTTCTTTTTTGATTTTTAGATTTTCTATAGAATTTATTGCATTAGAACCTTGCCTTCTGAAATATGCCA